GGTTTTACTTTCTGTGCTGAAAGAGGCAAAAGGGAATGGAGTAAAAATAATCCTTTTAGAGCAAATTCAGGGTTTGAAGTTGCTGAATTTTACTTTACACGAGTTAAGCTCAGTCAGGAAGTGAATTATGAAAGAATGGACCCTCCTGAAATTTGAGTCTATTTTACAAGCAAAGATTARTAGAAATATACTTTTTTTTTTGTTGTTTTTTTTTTTCCATTACAAATACAGTACAAATGGATAAAATGTTGGTAAAGACGCGCTAYTGTGAGAATTTTTTACACTTTTTGCTGATCTGACATTGAGTTTACAGTTCCAAGCCTGGTTTTTAGCAATTACACCCAAATTCCTGGTTTTTTTTTATCTCGGGGCTGAGAAAGTGCTGGCAGATTCAGTGAAAAAGTTATTGAATGTTTTTTGGAAATTCAGAGCTCACTCACCTGTCAGCATCGCCGCCTTCTGCTTTTCTGGGAGCTGCATCCCGAAATTTCCTCCGAATCCTCCAAAATTTCCTTTATGGCAGGAATGAGAATATTTCCAGGGAACAAACCATGTCCGGCAGTGAAATTCGGGGCTTGCAGAGGCTGTTTTTGGGGTGAGAGCCGAGCGGGGAGCCCGAATTGGGGCGGCCGGGAGCAACTGGAGGAACCGGCTGTGTCATTCCTGGGATGAGTCACTCCAGGAGATTCTGAGCTCTGCTCTGCTCTGCTCTGCCGAGCATTTCCTGGGTCTGGAGCAGAGGGTGAATCACCTGCAGCTGCCCTGGGGATGGGAACAAAGCAGCCGCCCCAGAAATCCCAAAAAATCTGGGGATTTCTCTGTAATCCCAAAAAAATCTGCAAAATTTCCAGGGATCCCAAAAAAATCTGCGGATTTTTCTCCCCAGGGATCCCGAAAAATTTGCGGATTTTCCAGTGATCCCAAAAAAATCTGCGGATTTTACAGTGATCCCGAAAAATCTGTGGAATTTTAAGTGATCCCGAAAAAATCTGCGGATTTCCCTCCCCAGTGATCCCGAAAAATCTGAGGATTTTCCAGTGATCCTGAAAAAATCTGTGGATTTCCACATTAATTTTCTTTAAAATCTCAGTATTTTGGTGAAGCTGTAAAACACGATGGGTTATAAATCGTGCCCTGGCACATGAATTTTTCTTTAAAAATCTATATTTTGGTGAAGCAGCAAAACATGACGGGGTATGAGCAGTTTCCTGGCACATTAACTTTTCTTTAAAAATAGATATTTTGGTGAAGCAGTAAAATATAATGGGTTATAAGCAGTACCCGGGCACATTAATTTTCTTGAAAATCTCAGTATTTTGGTGAAGCAGTAAAATATAACAGGTTATAAGCCATGCCCTGGCACATTAACTTTTCTTTAAAAATCTCTGTTTTGGTGAAGCAGTAAAATATAATGGGTTATGAGCAGTGCCCTGGCACATTAACTTTTCTTTAAAATCTCAGTATTTTGGTGAAGCTGTGAAACACAATGGGTTATAAGCTGTGCCCTGGCACATTAATTTTTCTTTATAAATCTATATTTTGGTGAAGCAGTAAAACACGACAGGGTATAAGCAGTGCCCTGGCACATTAACTTTTCTTAAAAAAAAAAAATCTATATTTTGGTGAAGCAGGAAAACACAACAGGTTATAAGCAGTGCCCTGGCACATTAACTTTTCTTGGAAAATTCTGTATTTTGGTGAAACAGTGAAACACGATGGGTTATAAGCCGTGCAAAGGAGCATTAATTTTCTTTAAAAATCTCTATTTTGGTGAAGCAGTAAAACACCACAGGTTATAAGCAGTTTCCTGGCACCCCGAGCAGATTGGTGCTGGCTCTGCCAGGCTGAGCAGGTCAGGACGAGCTGGCACACGAAATGTGGTGAGATTGCCATAAAAACAGCGTGGAAGAAACGCAGAGCTCTGATGGAAAGAAAAGCTGAAGGGAACTTCACCATTGTATTATTTAAAAGCTGGATTTCCCTGTCTGTATTTTGGTGATGAGAGAGCAGGCTCAGATTTCATAAGAATGACGTTATTACAGCAATGACTGCGTTGCTTCATTTAAAACTCCCACATTTAGCAATGGTTGTATTAAAGCAGATTCACCCATGGATAATAACGCACGGGCCTGGCTGGTTCTGGTTTTTAAGCAGAAAAGTGTCAGCAAGGTCAGAGCTTGCTCSTGGAGGCAAGGGGATAAAGCTTTTAATTTTCCGAAACACGAGTAAAATATAAAATAAATTTATATCAGCCTGTCCTTGCAGTCACCTTCACTTTTTCACTACAGAGTTTGGCAGCTCGGGCGTCCCTTTTACCTGCGGAAGAAAAACYGAAATGAAAAACAGATGATTAAGAGTCCTCAGAAAGTTTGGCACACCCTTTATTTCAGGAGCAGCTCATCCCATTTCGTGGTCACACCCGAGCTCTCAGCTGCGTGAGACTCATCACAAGAGAAATAAAAAAAAA